GTTCTGCAGCGGGCGCCAGCCAGGCGGAGGAGGGCCGCTCGCTGTGCAACCACCGCCGCTCGTACCGGTTCTTCATCGACTCGATCTCGGCCAACTGCACGTTCCCGGCCACGCCGTGCGACAGCTACGAGAGCCTACTGGCCGGCGACTGTTTCCCGTGCGGACCCAGCTCGCCGTGCAGTCAGATGGGCTACTACGCCGACCGGTTCAGCGCCAGAGGCAAGCTCTACCTCATCACTCGAGAGGACGAGCCCTTCTGCGGTAAGGCACTGCCGCTTTGGTGACGGCTGACGAGCGCTGACTGACCGCCTTTTGCAGCTGATTTGGGGGCCACCAGAGTCGTCTGATGCGATTTCTGTCTGTCATGATCTCGTCTTTCAAACGTCTGTTCCAGAATGTGTTGACTGTTCAGTGTTCATCGTATTATAGCCACCCTCGCAGCTATTCAAGTTTGTGCCAGTTTTGACTCAGCCAGCCCACAGGATGGGAACGGAGACTTGCGCTGAGCTGATCTGACCTTGCGACTTTCCTGCTTACGGCTGACCGATAGCCAGGGATGAACCCATCCCGTGGTCTCATGCGGGTCCAGATACATTCAAAAACAGGCGACACTTTTAGAGACCGGCTGGAGATAGAAGATCAGCTCTACACCGACTCCCTGCCCCACAAGCGGAGATGAACATGACTGGTGACTCCACCAGAGAACATTCGGGGCAGATGCAGCCAGTGAGGCGTCTCGCGCCGCCACGTCCGTCCCAGATGGGCGCACCGTGCGCGGCAGGGCCGAAACGTCACGTCACGCCGACCGTGGGCGCGTCACGAGGCTGTCTCTCCTGGCCGATGCTCCGTCACGTCACGTCCTGTTCTCCTCCGTTCTGTTCTGTTATGTCTCCTCCAATCCTATCTTGTCCTGCCCTGTCCGGACTCGTCTCGTCCGTCACTTCTCTATATTTCCTGTCCGCCATGGTCTGTGCTGTCCTGTGCCGTCTTCCCTTTTCCGGACTAGCCCCATGCCCGGACCTATCCAGCTTGGACATCTGAACGCCGGGCCCCGTGTGTCCACCAGTCGGTCAGCACGGCTGCCGGGGCTGGGAACACGCGGCACTGCGCCGCACGACCGCTATACTGTGTCCGAACGACACGCGTACCGCCTCCGACCGAACTAGGCCGCCGGCCGCCGCCCGCGCTGCGGCGACAGATGTTACCCGAGAGCGAACTGAACTGGAGCTACAGTGTGCGAGCGAGCGTGCTGGGGAACAGCGGGTCGCAATGCGAGAACGATAGCTGATTGATACTGCCCGATATTTTAGATCATAGACTTTACATGCTTGATCACTTTGTGCTGTTCTGTCACTCTGCACTCTGGATTTTGTGCTGTACTGCTCCGGCACACAAAAAGTTCTGTTTGGTTATAACGAAATCATCTTGCGATGCTGGCTCCCGAGTCCCGGCGTTGTCCGTCCACCGACCTAAATGTGTGCCCGCCCAGTAGATATCGGTCGATGTGCCCCAACCCACCGATCGGTGAACTCTAACCTCCCAACGGTCTCTGTTTGTCCAGTAATATCTCACACAGACCCCCGACGACCTCTGTTTGATCTCTCAGCGGCCTTCTGCTCACTATTGTCCCTGACCACCTCCGTTCGACCTCTGACCCGGCCCGTTTCGTTACAGCCAATCAGCACCGAGTCACCGTGCACGGCCGGGGCGGTCCGGACGGCGCGACCTACGGCCGGGTCGAGGTCACCCTCATCTCCAGCAACGGCTACAACGAGACCTTCCCGCTCACACAGTAAGTGGATATACGCAGGAACGCCTGCCACAGGCCAACGCGTGAACAATGCGCGCGGCATATTCACCCAACGTACAAAGATAGAACTTATAATAAGTATCAAGAACGCCAAAAGGAAAGATTATACTTGTCGCATCGTTCCACGTCTCTGCAGTGGCGATGGTGACCCTCCGCCGTTCCCTGGTCTGACGCCCCGCGTCCCTCGCCTGCAGTGGTGACCCCCTCCCCGTTCCCCGTTGTGACGTCCCCCTCCCCGTTCCCCGGTGTGACGCTCTGTCCCTCCCCGTTCCCGGGTGTGACGCTCTGTACTTCCCCGTTCCCCGGTGTGACATCCCGCGTCCCCCGCCCGCAGTAATGACGGAGACGACGTGAGCCGGCCGCTGGTGCGTATGCTGGTCGCCCACCCGGTGTTCCACCACATCAACCAGGTTCAGCTGCGCTACACCGCCTACAACGGCTGGCTGTACAGCGGCGCGCCCGCCTGGAGTATCGACAAGGTGGCCATCGTCAACAGCCTCGGGCACAGGTGAGACGGCCGAACAGAGAGGGCAAATGAAGGACCAACGTGTGAACCTGTAGGAGAGTCAGGGAGAAAAGCAGATACCATTCTGAAGGACTGACTGCCTGGGGAAAAGGCAATCGTAATTCGGCGCACGTAGGTAGTCTGTGCAGTGCGCCCGACCCAGCTGCTAGCGGCGTGCCTGGATTGCGTATGACGCGTCACGTGTGTGCCTATCGCCGCAGGCAACATGGAAATTAGGAACACCGTGAGAAGCCGGTCTGCCGCCGGCCAGACTCGTGTGTTTGGCTTTGGGAGAGTTGTGCTTGATGTATTTGTTCAGCCTCGATCGGAGCGTGGGCTCTGTACGTACTGCACGCAGCAATGACACCGTTTACCCACCGACAATTCGTGTGGGTATATGTCGGCAAATATAGCGGACATTGGCACTGCCGCCGTGCCCGCGCGGCTGTGACCGCTGCCCGACACGGTACGGACAGCTCACCTGACGCCGTCCTCGTCCTGTTGCAGCATGTCCTACTGCCAGCGGAACATGGTGCTGCCGGACGGGAAGCCGGTGCTGCTGAACCTGCGCGCCGGCAACTGCCGCGTCTCGTCGTTCCGGCCCAACCAGAGCTTCTGGAAGTCGCCCCAGAAGCCGCCGCAGCTGCCGCCAGTCAGCCTCGAGGAGGTAAGAGCGGCGAAATGGATAGAGACGAGAGACGGCGCCCAGTCCGCCGGGCTGTCATCAATGATGCCAATAGCCACGTGCCGCTTCAGTTCCTTTTCAACCAATATACTTTTGATATAAGTTAGTCCTGAACCGTCCTGTGCGACTCCATCTTTGTTAAATATCATAGAAGCCAAGAAATAAATTATGTTGAAAACAGTTCACAGTAATTATCGACCAAGTCGGGTAGCGGTAGAACACAGATGTGTCCCAGATGATGTAGGTTTAGGACGCCTCTGTAACACGAGTCCCCCTTCGGCAGACGATTCCCGACCCTCCGCCGCTGGAGGACGTCCAATCGAACCACGTGCGGAGCCTGGGTGCCGCCGACGGCGCGCTGCAGCGACTGTCGTCCCGGCCGCACCCGCGCCGGCCGGCCGGCGACCAGGCCTTCTTCAACCCTGACGGCCTGCCGGGCCGGACCGGCGAGCTAGACGACCAGCCAGCGCGGCCCGCTGACCATTCCAAACACCGCATGGAGGACGAGAGTGACGGCGACCAGGCCGAGGACTATGGCGACGACGAGGACTACGAGTACGACGAGGAGGAGAGCGACAACAGCACGCGTCACCCGGATCCGCCGCCCACCCCTGAGACGGTGGCGGAGGGCGCCAAGCCGGTGCGCGGCCCGGACGACCTCGGTGTGATCGTGATCCGCGGGGTGGCCGCGGAGGCCGGGGTCGAGGGCCGCGCGCTGTCCCCGGCGCGGCCCTCGCTCGCCCAGCTGGCGCGCGTGACCAACAGCAGCGGCGAGTACCCGCGCCGCGGCCGGCAGATCGGGATCCACGGACGGGCGCGCGCCAACGCCACAATCTCGGCGGCTCCGCGGCGGCCGCGGCCGCGCCGGCTGCGGCCCGGGCTGCGGCCGCAGCCGGCCGGCCCCGGCCCGGAGCCCGTCTACTACGTGCAGTACCTGCCGCCGGAGCTGTTCGAGCGGCCGGCCGCCGACTACATCCCAAGCCGGGCCGTGGTGCCGCCGCCGCCGGGCGCCGGCCGCGCCGCGCGCAGCCGCGGTCACCGGTTCGGCTTCCTGCGCAGCCTGTTCCCCACCTGGGAGAGCCCAGAGACGCGCTACATCCCGCTCACTGAGGGCCAGCGCGAGCGGTTCCGTCCCGGGTGACCGGCCGGCTGCAGAGAGCCGCTGTGGACCGGAGAGGACGCAGGGACGGAGTCTGTTCCGCCGCCGGAGCTAAACTCATACTGCGGGTGAACCTTTTCACCAGGGCGCGACATCGGATGCCGGGATAATGCCGAGTCGGCGTCTCCTGTGGAGAGGGAATATGAGGGGTCTTTCGATCAGAGGATCAGCAGTTACCAAAACGCGACACCGAAACCACCGAGGGCCGTGCGATTTCTGCCGGCGAGCGAGGGAGCGCCGGCCGAGCCACTGCCGGCCGGCCGTATGTGATAGGACCGGGGCCAGCCACTCAGCGCCGCCGCCCCGCATCTTTCCAGTGTATCCGTCCGTACTGCATGTGTATTATATCCGTGTCTACTGTGTAGGTTAGCGTGTTTTCACAAATGTCTGTGCAATTTCACTGGGTAGGTAGCGCGTTGTGGGTGTGGTGGGAGGCAGCGGACCGTTTGAGTGATGACCGGGCGCAGGGACGCGCACGGAGCAGCGAGTGTCACCGAGTAGCACCTGTTAGTGCCAAAGAGGGGCGCGTCCGCGCGCGCGTGAGAACTTGGTGAGAGTGTCGGATCGAGAGCTTACGTGTGAGCTGTGTGGAGCGCGGCGGCCGGCAGCGCTCGTCCCGGCGGCTCGGCCGGACGGCGCCGCAGTAGAACAGTATTCAGAGTGTGAGAGGCAGTGTTTTACCTGTGACTGGGCGGCCGGGGGCGCCCGGACAGGCCGCGGCGGGGCAGCGGGGGTGCGCCCGTCCCGCCGACCTCGGTCGTACTCAGGGAGCGCGTTCGGCCGCGGCGGCCCGGCCAGAGGTGCGCCGGCCCACGCCGACATCAATAAACATACACACGAGTACAGCCGCGAGTCTGTATTGGCTGCTGTGGCGCAGAGATGGTACACCCCACACCACAGGCGCTCTTCAGAGGTCGCCTTCAGCGTCCGTCATCACGGGCTTGTGCCGGTCCGGCCGGCAGTCTTCCACACTGAACACATCTCTCGGAACAGTTCTCACTTATTTCCGAACACTGCGCTCGTGAGCAGTTTTAAGTCTCGGAGTCCGGCAGTCTTGTATCGCGAGCGGGTTCCAGACCTTGGGTCGGGCGCCCTGACTGCGGAAGAGCTCCTCTTCCGAGTCGATCGTGGATCCTCCACTGCCAGTAGTTTCACGGGGTGCGGGGCCACCGGTGCACAGTTCCCGTGTTCTCCGCTCGCGGCGGCCCGCGGGGCCATACGCCCACACTGCCCCGGCGCTGGCGGCGCCCAGCCTCGCTCAGTGTTCGCAAACACCACTCGCGAGCGTGAGCCCTCTCCCGAGGGCGGGTAGAGATCACGTCCGCGCCTTGATCTTGTGAAGCACCTTGCTCTGCTCCAGCGCCGCCTTCCGTTTCCTCTGTGGATGAGAGGACACTGGTTAGGAAAACACACGATTGGAGGCAACGCGGAAAACGACGCTATCGTCCAGCCTGAGTCGATGGCAACACAAATCGTTTGCTTATTGGGGCTAGGAGCAAACAAGTTGGGTAGGGACCGAGAAGCAGAGAGTCAATACGTCGTCTTCATAAATATCAAATACAAAAACACACGACGAAAACTACATCATTCGCAAATTACGGTTAGTGAGGATGCTACTTGAACGGTCACTAACTCACTAGATTACTTTATTCTGCTGGAACCATCGCTGCCGTCATCTGACTACAGAGCGCACCTTTTGCGCGGCGGCACGTACCGTGGGTGTGCCCTGCGAGCTGTGAATGTCGAGCACCTGAGAGATCGTCTTTGGCCGGTTTATGTCCAACCCGCTCGGCGCGATGGAAGACGGAATGTCGAGCGTCTGTGGAAGGGGCAGTGCAGAGGGTCAGATCTCAGCAGGTAGAGTCGCGGCATGAGGCCACCTCAAGGAGGGTTCTAAGGATTTGGTAACTACGCAACAATAAACAGATATTGCATATGATTGAGACCCACCGTCCTACTTTTGACAAAGGCACAATTACTTTTACTAGGTACACGAGGGCGTCAGGATATCATGTCAAAACGGGCACCACCCCTGCAGCTCTGCTCTCCCATAAGCTCATATTCACCCCACTATCACCTTATGAACAGCACGTACCTTTCCCGGAGCGAGCGCCTCGTACTGGTGTTTGAGCGTCTGCAGCTCAAACTCACACGAGCTGAGGCCCATCTTCAGCTCGTAGAGCAGTAACATGTCGTTCCGCAGCTCGTTAAACTGGCTGGATATCTCCTCGGTCGGCATAGGGCTCATCTCTGCCGGAGTGACCGGGAGAAGTGGGTGAAACATTGCCACCCAAAGGGGATCTGTTTCGAATATGTTAAGCATGCGTTCTGAATCTGATAGATTAACGTCGAACAACAGATAGGACTCAGCTGAAGTACGGCACGCATCGGTCACGAGGCGAAAAGGCGATTGCCATGCACATACATTTTCTCACAACGAATTTGCCAAAACTGCGAACAGAATTTTTCCTAAAAGGACGGGGGCATTAATTCAGACAATGAGCCATGCAGCCTTGTCCCCGCGCCCAGTCTCACCGATGCCGAGCTCCTGGACCAGCTGCTCGATGGCCTTGGCCTTCTTCTGTCCGATGCTGGCCGGCAGTTTCATCCTCTGCGAGCGCAGGCTGACGCCGCTGCCGCGGAGGTCCGGAAACTTGATACTGCCGCCGGCGTCGCCCGCGCCGCTCGACTGCCGGACGAGGGGGCGCGCAGGTCAGGGAATGGATACCAGCGGATGCTAGAGCGACACATATGTACAGACACCCGCGCCGCTCGACTGCCGGACGACGGGCGCACAGGTCAGAGAATGGATACCAGCGGACTCGAGAGCGACAGATTCAAACAACACAGCAGCTAACGGAACGGTGCAGCCACACGGTGCTGAGCAAATGGCAACAAAACAATAGCAATTAGTCCAGGGATGCGGAGCCGTGGAAATTTCAGACGGCTCCGGCTCCGGCTCCGGCTCCGGAGATAAAAATCGGCTCCGGCTCCGGCTCCGGGTGAAATGTCATGGCGGCTCTGGCTCCGGCTCCGAGTAAAATGATCCGGCTCCGGTGGCTCCGGCTCCGGCTTCTACTCAGTACATCCCCTATGCGATCAATTAAATACGGGTTGAAGAAAAAGGTGATGGGATTGGTACACGTTGCTTCTGTATTTGTATAACAAGGCTATTTTGAATACCACATTGTTTTACGCCTTGTACCGTCAAACCGAACTAGGTAAATAATTGTTTCCTCTTAAGAAAAGGAGCCGGAGTCGCCCCCCTTTTTTGACGGCTCCGGCTCCGGCTCCGGCTCCGGGCAAAATATGCCGGCTCCGGCGGCTCCGGCGGCTCCGGCTCCGGCTCCGCATCCCTGAATTACACGTCGTCCTCTCAAAGAAATAAACTGACATGTTTCACTAGTTGCGCTGACTGTTGAGGACACCGACCCATTGTCTCCTGTCCACTGCCCAGTCCGCCGTCTACTCACCCCACCCTCCCGGCTGCGTTCCCCGTACGTACTGCACTGTCGAGTCGGTCCCTGGGCGGCTTGTTTCCGACGTGGACCACCTTCTTTTTGACGGTGCCCGGCGTCTTGTGCAGCCGCCGGTGCTCCGTGTCGGCCGAGTTGATCAGCTTCTGCAGGTCCTGAGTCTTCCGCTCGCGCTCCCGCTTCCTGGCCTCGATTTTCCGCAGTTCGGCCAGCAGGTGCTGCTCCTCCTCGATCTGGGCGGGTCACAGGGACAGGGTCAGAGGTCTCTGGTCAGTCAGAGAACGTCCAGAGCCGATCTGGGCCGGTCACAGGGTCAGCTTAGCGGTCAGAGGTCAGTCTGAGAACGCCCAATCGATCTGAGCGAGACGCCAGGACAGGTCAGAGGTCAGGAGTCAGTCTGAGAACGCCCAGTCGATCTGAGCGGGTCACAGACAGGACAGGTCAGAAGTCAGGAGTTGAGTCAGATCAGAGTTTGAAAAAAAAATGTAAGGTGACGTCACCACAGCACAAAGAGGTCCCAAACTGGTTTAGATTATGACTTGGAATGAAGTTTAATGAATTCCAAATAACGAGAATGACTGACCGTCCAAGACGGTAGTTCAAATGTACGACAAAGTTAGCGGCCATGCAGATCCTGCAACTGTAAATAAAGCCGAGAACATCACAGATCATCTGTATAAACGGTTAGGGCTCTCTCAAAGCAAAAAGAAAGAGCGACCTCTGCACAAAAGTTTGATCCCTGCTCAGCCCAAGTCTCTCACCTGTTTGGGTGACCGGCTGACACCTCACTACCCGCTGCCCCCCCTCTCACCTGTTTGGGTGACCGGCTGACACCTCACTGCCCGCTGCCCCCCCTCTCACCTGTTTGGGTGACCGGCTGACACGGGATACCTCACTACCCGCTCCCCCGTCTCACCTGTTTGGGTGACCGGCTGACACCTCACTACCCGCTCCCCCGTCTCACCTGTTTGGGTGACCGGCTGACACCTCACTACCCGCTGCCCCGTCTCACCTGTTTGGGTGACCGGCTGACACCTCACTGCCCGCTGCCCCCCCTCTCACCTGTTTGGGTGACCGGCTGACACGGGATACCTCACTACCCGCTCCCCCGTCTCACCTGTTTGGGTGACCGGCTGACACCTCACTACCCGCTGCCCCGTCTCACCTGTTTGGGTGACCAGCTGACACGGGATACCTCACTACCCGCTGCCCCGTCTCACCTGTTTGGGTGACCGGCTGACACCTCACTACCCGCTGCCCCGTCTCACCTGTTTGGGTGACCGGCTGACACCTCACTACCCGCTGCCCCGTCTCACCTGTTTGGGTGACCGGCTGACACCTCACTACCCGCTGCCCCGTCTCACCTGTTTGGGTGACCGGCTGACACCTCACTACCCGCTCCCCCGTCTCACCTGTTTGGGTGACCGGCTGACACCTCACTACCCGCTCCCCCGTCTCACCTGTTTGGGTGACCGGCTGACACCTCACTGCCCGCTGCCCCCCCTCTCACCTGTTTGGGTGACCGGCTGACACCTCACTGCCCGCTGCCCCCCCTCTCACCTGTTTGGGTGACCGGCTGACACCTCACTGCCCGCTGCCCCCCCTCTCACCTGTTTGGGTGACCGGCTGACACCTCACTGCCCGCTCCCCCGTCTCACCTGTTTGGGTGACCGGCTGACACGGGATACCTCACTACCCGCTGCCCCGTCTCACCTGTTTGGGTGACCAGCTGACACGGGATACCTCACTACCCGCTGCCCCGTCTCACCTGTTTGGGTGACCAGCTGACACGGGATACCTCACTACCCGCTGCCCCGTCTCACCTGTTTGGGTGACCAGCTGACACGGGACACCTCACCGCCCGCTGCCCCGTCTCACCTGTTTGGGTGACCGGCTGACACCTCACTGCCCGCTGCCCCCCCTCTCACCTGTTTGGGTGACCGGCTGACACCTCACTGCCCGCTCCCCCGTCTCACCTGTTTGGGTGACCGGCTGACACGGGACACCTCACCGCCCGCTGCCCCGTCTCACCTGTTTGGGTGACCGGCTGACACCTCACTGCCCGCTCCCCCGTCTCACCTGTTTGGGTGACCGGCTGACACGGGATGCCTCACTACCCGCTGCCCCGTCTCACCTGTTTGGGTGACCGGCTGACACCTCACTGCCCGCTCCCCCGTCTCACCTGTTTGGGTGACCGGCTGACACGGGATGCCTCACTACCCGCTGCCCCGTCTCACCTGTTTGGGTGACCAGCTGACACGGGATACCTCACTACCCGCTGCCCCGTCTCACCTGTTTGGGTGACCAGCTGACACGGGATACCTCACTACCCGCTGCCCCGTCTCACCTGTTTGGGTGACCAGCTGACACGGGATACCTCACTACCCGCTGCCCCGTCTCACCTGTTTGGGTGACCAGCTGACACGGGATACCTCACTACCCGCTGCCCCGTCTCACCTGTTTGGGTGACCAGCTGACACGGGATACCTCACTACCCGCTGCCCCGTCTCACCTGTTTGGGTGACCAGCTGACACGGGATACCTCACTACCCGCTGCCCCGTCTCACCTGTTTGGGTGACCAGCTGACACGGGATACCTCACTACCCGCTGCCCCGTCTCACCTGTTTGGGTGACCGGCTGACACCTCACTGCCCGCTGCCCCCCCTCTCACCTGTTTGGGTGACCGGCTGACACCTCACTGCCCGCTGCCCCCCCTCTCACCTGTTTGGGTGACCGGCTGACACCTCACTGCCCGCTGCCCCCCCTCTCACCTGTTTGGGTGACCGGCTGACACCTCACTGCCCGCTGCCCCCCCCTCTCACCTGTTTGGGTGACCAGCTGACACGGGATACCTCACTACCCGCTGCCCCGTCTCACCTGTTTGGGTGACCAGCTGACACGGGATACCTCACTACCCGCTGCCCCGTCTCACCTGTTTGGGTGACCTGCTGAAGAGTCGCTTCAGCTGCTGTTTCCGGCGCCGCTCGTGGGCGGCATCATAGACAAACTCCTTGGTCTGCGGCTGTCCCGGCTCGGCTCGCAGCTGGGGACGGGACAGGGGGAGTATACTGACTATTTATGGCACCTCAGCACCTCAGGACTGTCACCGGAGCAGTGGTACACACGGGCGAGTACAAACTAACACGCACGGGACGCATCGCGTGTACATTAATCACTGATTAACGCAATTAGTGCCATTGGCACACACACACACATCCATTCCCATAATGACATACATTAATGTGCAATCATCATCGTGGGTGCGCTAGGTACCCGAAAAAGTCAGCGCCCACGAATATTTTAGGGGAAATATTAATTGCAGGCACACAGCCGGACGCAAAATCTTTTTATGATACTTATCTACAGGAAGTGGGAATGCTGACAAAGCTTCCAATAAATAGGTAACCAACACCAAAGGTGATTGATCTCACAAATCACAGCCCGAACCCCCCACTGGTGTGACCTGGTGGTCGCTGACCCTGTCACGGCACCCGACGATACGTCCCGTTAGCGCCTATAGCGCGTGCATCTCTCTGGTGTGACCCCCTGCTCGCCCAGCCCTGTCACACCCCACGGTCCGTCCCGCTGGCGCCTGTGGCGCGGCTGGCTGCCGGCAGTACCGGTCAGACACCCAGCTGCCGGCGGTACGGGTCAGACACCCAGCTGTCGACGGTACCGGTCAGACACCCAGCTGTCGACGGTACGGGTCAGACACCCAGCTGCCGACGGTACGGGTCAGACACCCAGCTGTCGACGGTACGGGTCAGACACCCAGCTGTCGACGGTACGGGTCAGACACCCAGCTGCCGGCAGTACCGGTCAGACACCCAGCTGTCGACGGTACGGGTCAGACACCCAGCTGTCGACGGTACGGGTCAGACACCCATCTGTCGACGGTACGGGTCAGACACCCAGCTGCCGACGGTACCGGTCAGACACCCAGCTGCCGACGGTACGGGTCAGACACCCAGCTGCCGACGGTACGGGTCAGACACCCAGCTGCCGACGGTACGGGTCAGACACCCAGCTGCCGGCAGTACCGGTCAGACACCCAGCTGCCGACGGTACGGGTCAGACACCCAGCTGCCGGCGGTACGGGTCAGACACCCAGCTGCCGGCGGTACGGGTCAGACACCCAGCTGTCGGCGGTACGGGTCCTGCTGCCGACGGTACGGGTCAGACACCCAGCTGTCGACGGTACCGAGAAGACACCCAGCTGCCGGCGGTACCGAGAAGACACCCAGCTGTCGACGCCGACGGTACGGGTCAGACACACCCACCTTGTTGAGCGTGCTGCAGATACTATAGTAGCGGCCCTTGAGGTCCTCCACCGATCGGTCGGCGTACTTGGCCCGGTCCCAGCGGTCCTGCATCACAATAAACCTGCAGACATACACAGGAGATGGGGGGGGGGGGGTTAACGGACGGCGTACTTGGCCCGGTCCCAGCGGTCCTGCATCACGATAAACCTGACGACACATACACGGGAGATGGGGGTTAACGGTCGGTTTTTACATGCGCAAAAATAGTAGCATAAAGGCGAAGAATAAAAAATGGCATCAGTAGAACGACAGTGCCAAACAAAAATACACAGGAAACACAACTTTATTGACAGTGAGGAGTTACGATTATTTTGCTAAATACTCCATCATAATCCAATAATCCATATCCATCACTTACATAATCCATCACTTAAATAATCCATCACTTACCGTTGAGATACCAAACATAAAATCATCATCTTTACACAGACACTCCAGGGCACCTTTATTGATGCCTAATTAACTCAGGAAGGGGCAATACAATCCCACAAGAGGTCACGCTCACCTATATAGTACGTACGGATACATTTTTAATAAATCCTGTTGGTGGACCTCATATCCACGACCAGCTTTGGCGTGACCATGAAATTGAGATGTAGCGACGTGACCTTATCCTACTAACTACCGTCATTTTTTCAATGAGGCGGGGCACGACCGAATGCCTGTCAGAAATACCTGTCCTGACCAGACAAAATAGGGCGTTAATCATGTTCGTTAGGGCACAGCTGCCGTGACTGAGGGGCTGGCCGCACCCCGGGCGGTGACGGATTGCGGGGCCAGCTGAGGGGGGGGGGGGGGGGGTGACCAGACCAGCCCCGGGCGGTGAAAGATTGCGGGCTCAGCTGAGGGGCTGACCACCCCGGGCGGTAACGGATGGCGGGGCCAGGTGGGCCGCACGGCTAATAATTCCGCACCGGTGGGGCGATACATCACAGCGCGGCCGACACGTGCTTCAGCTATCGCCTCACCACGGGACTGCATGGTGTGGTAACATCACACCGCGACCGGCCCGGGAGTGGCGAATATGCGCCCGGGAGCCGGCTATCGTCTCACCACGGAACTACATGATGTGTGAACTGTGAACTAACGTCCCATGGACGTACCCCGTGCGTCAGAATCCCACTAAATTGCAGCGACATAATTTTACCAGACTTCGACCGCGCACAAGCGGATACAACTCAGACCGTATCACCCAATTCTCTGTAATTAGTCAACTTGTATGATAAATTATCTAATTATCCAAAAGATCCAGCATATGACACATGCTGGACGACTTGTGACTGTTAAAAGACAATTATTTATGCGTTGTCCCACTTCTACATCATGCATTACTAGTCTACCTCCCATATCCTAAGACCCAAAACTATCGGCGATGGGAGGCTCAATAATTTCCCGTGGGCGATGGCGCATACAATACCAGCCGCCCGGACACCGCCGTCGTACCATGATAATATGCTCCACGAGTATTCCACCATTGAGCAGCCGCTCGGGCCCTCCAAAACATTCAGCCATCGTGTCACTGCCGTCTAACGCAGGGACCGAGGGCGCGTTTTGCATCGACCGCGACAGCACCGCCGCCGTCGCCCGACATTTATACGCCGCCGACGGCCTAACCGGCGACTGACGGCGCCACAACTCGCCGGCCCAATCACAATCGACGTCCCTGCCGCCGCCCAGCCACGGGGCAGCAATGACCCAATCTGCACGGCGCCGTTCCATTTCGGTTTTCATTTCTCGACACACGGTCAAGGGCTGGCTCGGGGCTCAGTGGAGACGGGGCGGGTTTGTCGGCGGGGTGGGTACCGACTTGAGGTCGAAGAGGTGCTCGGTCTCGGGTACTGAGTACCCACCTGAGGTCGAACCGGCGGCAGAGGTCGAAGAGGTGCTCTGTCTCAGGCACTGAGTACCCACCTGAGGTCGAACCGGCGGCAGAGGTCGAAGAGGTGCTCGGTCGCGGCCTTGGACCAGCCGTCTGCCTGCAGATGACGCTGGTACTCCTGGTCCGTGAAAGACACCACGTCCACCTTCTGTGAATGGGAGACACGCGGGGCGCTGTCAGTAGACGCACATAGCACACCAAGCCACACAGCAGCGTCACGCCACACGGAGCATTACAAATACACGCCTGACTGGTGAGTGGTGATACATGAGGCACTGCTCACAGCAGCCTGCTGTATGGTTATCCCTCGCGGGCCCGGGGGGGGGGGGGGTTCGCCCCCCTGACGAATATTTGCGATAGCTCCCGAACGCTTACGGATAGGAAAGTGAAACTTTCAGTACCTTTTCTCCCATCAATTTGACATCTTCTGAAGTAAAAAATTTGGACCTAGCCCCCTTGATGACGTCACAAGGTCCATTTTTCTAGACCCCTGCATGGTAAACTTCGGCGTCACAGACTCAAACTTCAAATAGCTGCTAAAAATAGAGTTTTAGAGATAAAGACAAATTACGAGCACGGTTGTGTAGCATTTGACCTAGAGAAAAATAAAAAATAATTTTGGTGACCTGGGCTCAGAGGTCAGGTCAACGACCCCGAAATGTGGTTTTAGTTTTTCGCAAATAACTTTGACAAAAATGGTCCAAGAGCTACGGCAGTGGTACCTACCATCGCATTCGCCTTGTCAAGCCGCGTCGAATGATATATATTTTGTTCGGAAAAGGTCAAGTTTTATGTTGACCTCATGTGACCTCGAATGACCTCTGGTTGATCTGGTTGACACATGAAAGGTCGTTTCTGATGGATTTGTACCCGCTGATCACGAATCTTGCATCTATTTTCCTCTAAGCCTTCATTTAGAGTTTCCGGATGGCAAAATTGTCTTATTTATTATTACTAACTTGAATCAGTGAAATAGCCTCTAGCAGGGATACTCTTCTGTGACCTTGACCTTTGAGCAGCCTTGTATCGTAAGATGAACCACAAATAGGGAACTGATAAGCCTCAAAACATTTCAAAACATCTTAGAAGTTAGCACGCAAGATGTGCGAAAAGTGCCCAGTTTGAGGTCAATTTTGAGCGTGACCTTGACCTTGACCTTTGATTTTGAGCACATTTTCGGAATCCTCAGATTCTCTTCTTTTGTTTGACACCCAATTTTGCCGGTTTGATGCAGCCTGCCGTCCTCTAGAAGGCTTACTTTGAGATCACTACACATGTGCCAATTTTTGCCCTTGACCTTGACCTCTGACCTTGAGAATTGACCTGAGGTCAAAAATTTTAGGTGCTTTAGAATCGTCTTGTAAGGACCTTTCGCTTGATATCGCTTTTGTTTCCGTAGCTCCCTTATTTACGGAGTTAGACAGGGGGGGGGGGTTGGGATTAACCCCCGTGCCCGGCCGGGTTATGCGTGAATCGAAATTGCGACAAGTAATAGATCATACCACCCCATCCATTTTCGTAAACCGTAGGATCACCATCTGCTAGGCATTTTAGGAGCTGCTATCGGGTGGGTCGTTCGGTCGGCCGTCACCGCACCAGTCGACCCTGCCACTACTATCCCGTACACTGCCCCCCGCCTAACAGCAGGTAAGCTGGTGTAGGTACTGTCTCACACTGGCTCCCACCGCAGTGGTTACGACCCCCGCGGCGCAGCCCCACCTTGTTGAACTTGGCGAAGGCGTACTCCTTGTCCTCGTCGGCTACGCGCCGCCAGTGGTGCAGCACGGCGCCGTCTGACCGCGCCGGGTTCGTGAACGGCGTCCAACGCCACGGGCGCACCCGGCGCATCCCCAGCTTCGCCTTGGTCTGCTTGTAGCCCTTGTTGACTGTGCGGGACAACGAACAGAACAGGTTAGTTGCAGATGTATTGCACTCACGAATGAGAAGAATCATACCAAGACTTTAATTGTAGCGAAAAGGTGTCTATTTCAAAATAAGAAATAATGCCAGTAATACTTACATGAGTTACAAAGACATCAAAATCCAAACAGCTGTTTCTATAATCCCCTCAACAGTTAAATGTTCCCATGCTAGCAGTCAGCCTCACAGACGCAGATGTACGAGAAAGAGCAGCCGATTCATCCTGCCGCTGTCGGGCCGTCTCACCATCCTCGGTGGGGAAGAGCGGCGGGTGCTCCTTGTTGTCCGAGTAGAGCAGCGCGTACAGCTCTCGGTTGATGCCCTCGGGCCGGCGGCTGCCGCGCGGCGCGCCCGGCCGTTTGGCCACCCGCTGCGGGCCGATGATCTTCTCACGGTTGATCTCGGAGGAGGCCGCGCCGCCGCGGTCCACCTCGAGAATGTCCAGCACGTCCGACATGGCGGCGCCGACTCAGACCGACTGCACAGGAGACGACTGGCGGGTCTGCGAGGGGCGGGGGCAGATGGGTCAGACCGGACACAACTCACTGATCTGTGAGGGGCAGAGGCAACTGACTCAGACTGGACACCGCTGGCTGCTCTGTGAGGGAGAGGGGGCAACTGACTCAGACAGGAATATGGTCACAACTCACACATCAGCCACAGGGTGAAATGTATCGGCACTTCTTTGGAATATTACACTTTTTTCTGGCACAGTCCACTGCGTACAACTCAAGTAAATATGTTTGATAAACAGTAAAATTTACGCATCATCCTAAATGGAAAGTTTCATCAGATCATATCTGAACAAGGCTTGTTGGACATCCACTGACCAGCTTGAACAACCAATGATTGGCAGAAGGTTTCAAAACCCATACTTCTGAAGCCTGGAAACCTATTCTCAGGAACCTGAGCATGATGTGGGAGTTACTCATGAAAATACAAACATATGTGAAACTCCGGAGGCTTCTCATTCCAAGCATTTGATTACGAAATTTGTATATGACCCTGTTTTGAACTTTGATACAATATTTGTTTTACATCATGTGAACACGTCATTTGCCAATTGCCAGTGAAGTGGGACCAGACTGGAAAACATCCATACACTACGCCGGACGCCCGTGAGACCCCCATGCATGACGCAAGCGATTTGCGCTTAAATTTCTGCATGATTTGCATTGAAAGTTGGGTACCTATTCGTGCCAAAAATAAGCCACTTTTACATCCAGCGCAGGTGCAATCTACCGATTAGGGCTATATCAACCAGAGCGTTCTGGGGCCTTGAATGCTCTCTCATGTTTGAGCATCTGAATAAGTTGATGTTTCCATGGAAACCCAATGACCAATGCCAAAATATGCGCAGCACACTGTAGTGTCGCGCCGTGAAACAAGGCCCGGGTCGGAGTTCCCGGGACACAAAAATCGGTGGTGTGTTCCAGGCTAGCAGTCGCCAGAGAGGACCAGTCAGCGGAGCAGCACGTGTTCCGGCACATCAGCCTCTTCTCAGCACACGGCGCAGAGCGCCGCGGGGCACCAGTTATCTGGCACTGCTGGCACGCCGGCCGCCGCGGGGGGAGACGGCCGATTCAGTGCACGTTCTGGAAGGAGTGGCCCAGTGGTCCGCCCTCATCTGGACGTGCACCGAAACTGCGTCCTCTCGATCCTCCCCAGACCCCAGGGATACGGAGTGGCAGCGTGCTCCTGAAGAGTGGCTTAACTGGTGACTCGGGCCAGTTGTCACGCCATTGCGTGTGTACAGGCCTCTCCTGGGCCTCTTCAGGGTGGCCGCTCCTCCAATGAGTAAACTTAGCAGCTCGCGAGTAGGAGCATGAGACGACTGCCCCAGCAGGACGAATCAAAGCTGCTGCTAGATTGACCAGTGTGTCTAAAAATTTGATGACCGCCATTCACCAAAAAATTATGCAGCTACCCTGCTCCAAATAATTCAGCGGCCATCATGCGCTATAGCTGGCTGAATTAAGGGCATGCAAAGTTACGCCGGGCCGGACGTGCCCTTAAATTTCGGCGCATGCGAAGTTACACCGGACGTGCGCTGAAATTTTAGCATCAGGCCACTACACCGGAAATATTTGGCATAACATGTATTTTTTCCAATTTGGCCGCCAGCCTAGAACACATAGCTCTGCCAATTTTTATGGCCCAGGCCCATGGAACTTCCAACTCCGGCCTTGTTTCACGGCACACAACGCAACAGTGCGCTAAGCGTATTGAGTGTAGCGGCGCTGCTCCACCGCTGGTCAAGTGATATTTAGTGGTTGCGACTCACTGAAGTCGCGGCGTCAGCTGCGCGGCAGAGACGTATTTGCTTTTCACCGGCGGCGTGGTCGAGGACGCCATTTTCGCTTTGGCAGTCATCATGCCATGAACAGAGTTTGGCACCCGGCCAGATTCGGGACAGAGTATGTATGAATCAAAGAATATTGTCGTTTTGTTACCTATTTATCAGCTTATGTTGTTACCTATGGATACAATCTGTGATATCGTTTCCATACGTTGATTTCTCACGTTGATAACCGATTTACCTAATTTACCTATATTTCGGATGTTTTTCATGCTCATAAGTCACTTAGTGTTATGATTTATGTTCATATTTATGATGTGCGTTTCTTTCTGTGTGTTTCTCAGGTTTTCTACATTACACCTGCGTTACACCTCCGTTACACCTGTCACCTACGCAGTTACCCAATAGAATCTGATCTGAAAACTAACAACTTGTTTACCTGCCAAAGCCGTATCATTGAGGTATTGGGTTTCCATGGGAAAAACTTATTCAGACGCTCAAACCAATCTGGGACAAAGCAAAAGGAGGTTTTGGTAGATCAGTTTCACTTTGACTTTACCGTAACAACCTGGTTCTTGATTTGACTTGTGACTAATCGAATCAGGGTATATAGAACAACGAATCGAATGATTTACATAGAATCTAGCCCACAGAAAATCTTTAACTTGCAACTTGTGAAAAATATAAAAACACGTCCGATCTACCACACGTATATCCAACAAATGTCAATCTGGTAGCACAAATAACAAGTTTTCCTCTATTTCCTCTCTGCGTATTGAAGTTTTCCTTGAAATTTCAACGACTTGATTTTTAAGTTAATCTTAAAAGCAGCAACGTTGATTGATTCAAGGACTAATGTTGAATAATTTATGAAAAAATGAGCTAACCAATATAATTTCATAAAAATTATCAAAAACAGCCTTAAGCTTTTCTAAATACTTCAATAATTATGAAATAATTTTGCATATGGTAGCAATGAACTTGAAATTTAGCGACAAATAATACGCACCTGTTACATTAATATGCACGTTGAAATGCAGCATGTGGAAAACGAAAGATTGTGAATGAGGTGAATGAGCTGTTGAGGTTGTGAAACTGGGTAAGTTTGGTTTCATCGGCAGAGAAAGCTTGGCAATAGTTCTCTACCCACAAACATTGCTAATAGTACCCTTGCTGTCCATCATCATGACCCCACTTACTACTTGACTGGTAAGTTGTACTTCATGTTTGCAATGTGTAACCTGCAACAACAACAAGACAGAAGTTTGTCAATTATTTTGTTTGAACGGTTTTGATTAGGGCACGCATGATGAGACCTTATAGTAAGGATTGTTTGGTCAGTTATGCAAGTAACAAAGTCAACACCAACAGCACACTGTCCTGGTGGTGGCCAAAACACGATTGTGAAATGGTCATGGGACTTTTACGCAGACAACTTGACTGAAGTGTCTCACAACTCGCTGCCAGTGCATGTCAGGCCCAGCTGAAAACTGACACCTTCCCTGCTGAGCTACAGAGTACCTAGCAGGCAGACATTTTAAAAAGCATCTGATTCTGCTGTAAAATGGAAAACTAGAATGCAAAAAAGATACCTGTGAAGCTGGTACCTAGTCTTTCTGCTTCATTTCAGGTCACATTACAGCATCATGTTTGATTCATGTCAATAAAAGTCATGGAAAGTTATTGATTTCATTAGGCTACACACATTTCTCCAACAGAACATTCCTTCGACTAAGAGACAAGAGTTGGCCACACCTTACCCCTCTGCCCTTCCCTCTCTTTTCTTACATTCTTTCTGTTTTCCTCTCCCCTCCCTCTAAATATCTCCTTCTTTCCATCTTGGTCTCTCTTTTCCCCCGGTCTCTCTTCCTCTTCCTTTTTCCTTCCCTCCCTCATTTCCTCTATTCATCTCTTCTTTCTCTTTCTTTCCCTTCTTTCACTCTCCTTATCCCTTTCTTTCTTTGTCTCTCTCCCTCTATCCAACTTTCCACTCTTTCTCTCTCTCTCTTTATCCCACTTCCCTCCTCTCTCCTTTTCCCTGTTTATGTATATCTATCTCCCTCCCCCTTTCTCTCTATCCCTCCCCCTCCCTGTATGTATGTATGTATGTATTGACGATCAAGAGCAATCCACAATCGGCGTGGCGATTACACTCCGAGTCCGAGCTGGTTGAAGATAACACAAGAAATAGGTACCTACACAAGAAAACGCACACACTTACGGATACGAAATACACAACGCGAACGCCGAACACGCACATACTTGGTGTAACCCGCACGAAGCCGCGTTCATAACTATGTACACACAGACTCGTTTGCCTTTGATAGTCCAAGAGTCATGAGGCTAGCTACTATGGCTACTCTGGCTAGGCTTAAGCCCCTTTTTTACAGCACGGGCAAATCTGGCTGGAGGCAACTGCGTTAGCTCGAGGGGGAGAGTATTTAGGAGCGCCGCGGCACGGTAGGCGAATCTACGTTTTCCGGTCTCTAGTCGGGGTCGCGGTAAGTGGAAAAGGTGGTCTTGGCGAGTAGACCTTGCTCGTGTTTGGGAATTTTTGGAAAATAGGGTCGCGATCTCCTCGGGTTCACCTCTCTGGATGGCCTTGTGCGCCGTGATAAGGGTATGGTATTCAGCCATTGTTTTAGGTGCCATCCAGCCGAGTTGGTCCCGGAGATGGGAGACATGATCAAATTTACGGCGACCGAAAATGACTCTAGCGGCAAAGTTAAGAATTTTCTGAATGCGATCGAAGTTCTTTTGGCTACCATTACCAAATACGGAGAGACAGTACTGGATCCGTGACATGACGAGAGCCACCACTAGTGTCTTGGTGACACCGTCGGGGAGGTAGTGGCGGACATGGGAGAGGCCAATTAGGAGACCCGTGCATCGGCGACTGAGCTCGGACACATGCGCGTCCCAGGACAGGGTGCCGTCGAAGATAACGCCCAGGTTGCCCACCTGCTTGCATGGCACTAGTTTGGTGTCGCGAAAAGAAACGGTGAAAGCAGGTATGCTTCTCAAATTTTGCCGACTGCCGAAAACCATGAGCTGAGTTTTAGCAGTGTTTACTTTAAGAGCATTTGCACTGAACCAATGGTCGAGAGACGCCAGTGACGCTTCCAAGCGCGAGATGAGTCCCCTAAGGTCGTTTAAAGGGCCACTCACCAACAATTGAGTATCATCAGCGTACTGGAAGACTGCTGCATCCTCAGAATAAAGTGATAGATCATTGGAAAATACCGTGAAGAGTAAGGGACCGAGTGCCGAGCCTTGAAAGACGCCCATAGAGTTGGGGAGAGGTTGTGATAATACCCGGCGACCGGACTCGTCCTTCAATGACACACTCTGTCATAGGCGGCGGAACGGGGAGGGCACCGGGGCACCGTGCCCCCCTTTGATTTTGATATTTCAACATTAGCCCTATGGGCGTTGCATGGAAAGAATGGGACCAAAAGTCGGCAGTGCCCCCTCTTAACTGAAGGTGTTCCGCCGTTACTGCACTCTGTGTGTGACCCTGGAGATAAGCGGCGAACCAGGATGTCTCTATGCCGTGCATTGCCAATTTAGCGAGTAATAACTCATGGTTGATGACATCAAAACATTTGCTTAAATCAATAAGGCATAGCATAGAGACATCCCCCTATCGGTGGCGGCCAGGATTTGGTCACTGACGGACAGAAGTGCTGTCTCAGTTGAGTGCCGGGGTCGGAAACCGTGCTGGGTATTGGCCAGAAGATGGTTTTGGGAGAGATAGCGATAGAGCTGTTTGTGAATGACTCGCTCGACCACCTTCATAATGACAGGTACTAAGGAGATAGGTCGAAAATTAGTGGGATCAGATGGGTTTCCAGACTTGAAGATGGGGTGAACTATAGAGTGTTTCCAATGAAAGGGGATATCGGACCTTGAGATGCAAGTGTTAATGATGTGAAGGATAACGTCACCGATAGATGGGAAAGCAGTTTTCAGCATGCGAATGCAGACGCCATCAGACGCACAGGCGGCAGAATTGCGCATATTGAAAACGGTGTGACCGAGTTCACCGAGAGAGATAGGTCTGGGCTTAAATCTACCGGTTACGACACGCGGCAAACGGCCAATTTGCTCAACAACTGGATTTTGGTCACGGATCTCTGTAGCGACGCGGGGACCCACAGAAACGAAAAAAGAATTTAAAACGTCAGCCGATACATCAGGTTGAACACTAGGTCCGTCTTTCTTACCAGCCACAACCGACCTAATACTTTTCCACACCTTGTTGGGACCCCGCCCACTAATCTCTCTGTGAAGTTCGCCGCGTCGGTCTCGTCGCACTGCGGCCCGGACAGTTCGGTTTAAGTCTTTGTAAACCTCCGACTTTCTACCGAACTGCTGTAACGCGGTACGACGTTGATCCATAATTTTAAGTGTGGCGGGGGTAACTGGTGGTGCTGTAGGATTACGGATGGTAATATTCTTTATAGGTGCGTGATCGTCAAAAATCGGCAGAAATTCGGTCAGGAAAGCATCCCACTGGTCACTTACGTTCGTGGCACTAAACACGCCCTCCCAATCGGCAAACATCAGGTCAGAGTTCAGGGCATCGACATCTATACGGTTGATCGAGCGGGATTGAACAACTGTAGGATTTTTGCGTTGTTTCGGAACGTTAATAGACACACGAAGGAGTTTGTGTGGGCTGAAGTGGCAAAAGGATGCAGAGCAATCACGCACAAGCTCTCTATTTTTAACCATACAGACGTCTAGCAACGAGCCGGAAGTGTACGTTGGAACGGTTACAAGCTGCTCAAGAGAATAATTCGATAAAAAGTCACTGAGGTGTACACGCGCACGAAAACTCTCCTCCTTCAACATATCACAGTTTAAATCGCCACAGATCATAAATGGAATCTTGGGAAAATCAATTAATACACGCTGTAACTGCGTCTCGAGGTCCGAAAAGTCAGCTCGCAGAGCGGCATCGGTCTGTCGGGGCGGCCGGTACACAGAGCAAACAATTAACTGGCGATTTCGTTCGAGCTTGAACAACATCCACCGGGTTTCCAGGAGACTGCCGGGGTGCGGGGATGTGCTCGGTTTGATGGTCACAGTTTTCATATCCGTTTTTGACAGTACGGCGACCCCGCCGTAGCCGCTGCCGTCTGGTCGGTCGACTCGGCTGAGAGAGTAGCCGGGAATCACGAGAAGTCGATTTGGAGTAGAAGGGCGCAGCTCTCCCTCCCACTGGCCGCTGGTTTTCGTGCCGCCCCCGCTCGGCCTCGACTCGTGACGGTCACGGTGTGGGTGCCAGTCACGTGACGTGGTCACTCTGCCTCCCTACCGACAGACGGCGGGTGTCTGACCGGACCGCTGTGCCGCCGGGACCGCTGTGCCGCCGGGAGTGCAGTGCCGCCGCTGCCGCTACCCCCGGACAGACGGAGTGACGCACCCGCCGCTGACAGCGGTCACACGCAGACATGCAGTCGGACGACGTGAGTACTGGCAGTGTTGAATTCGAGGGGCTGGGCGGCAACATTTTTAGACTGTGGGCCAATCCAAAACCAAAGGATGAGTTCCAGTGTACTGTGGTGGCTTGTGACGTAATGACTCGTGTGACCCCTGTGAACTGTGAGCCTAGCGTGACCGGTGACCTTTGTGTGGTGGCCCTGGTTACGTGTGTGACCTGGTGACCTACGTGTGATCCCAGTGACCTCTATGGCCCATGTGGCCTTTACACAACGGACAGTTACTGGCCATGTGGGACCCTGAGCTCCCCACCCCCAGGTGACGCCCGACTGGTAATTCCCCTCTATCGGTGGGTAATCCCTGTAACGTGTTTGTTACGTTTACTGTTCGTTTGCTGCTGTTCGACGCACGATGTTCCTGACGGGCCCGGGGGAGCGTCTGTCGTTTGGTGTCGTTTGTTGTCGCAGCCTGGTGTAGACCGTTGTGTTGCGTGTCAGTGCTGGTGTCGTATATTGTGTCATTTGTCGTAGCGTGATGTTATTTATGACGTGTGTCGTGGCTGTGAGCCTGTGTCATTGACGTTGGTTTGTTTGTCGTGACTTAGTGACACGTATTGCGTCATGAAGGTACCGTGAGCTGACGTCAGCTGTAGTGTCATGTGTCGTGATGCAGTGTCACGTATCACTGTGGTTTACCATTGGCCGCTGGATGGGAGCGTGACTCGCAGGTCTCCGAACGCTCCGGAGGGGGAGGGGGATAGGGAGAGGAAGGGAACGGGACGGGAACAGGTTCAAGCACGACGCTGACTGGCACAACCTTGACCAGCAGTCTTCACAGCACGATTCTAGCCCAGCTTCCGCGCATCATTATGTCGTCATCAACTACAGTCAAGTGCCGCAGGGGCACAATCTGCTAAACTTTATCGTATAAGTCACAAGTCATAATCCTTCGTTTGCCCTAGGTAGCGTTCATGTATCACAACTGTTTTACTGCATCTGAAGCGTTCTGTGGTGCTAGAATGATATTCATTTTCTCGCATTGTGCATTTAATATCGATTTGATTTTCCACACGTTTAACCTGTATTGCGTGCAGTAGCACCTTGATGTGGTGCGAGCCCGGTATTATATTATTCTCTTCCCGCTCCGGCTGTTGTGTTTTGCTCGGCGCTGTTATCGGAGAGTCGCTGACACCTTTCTCCCGCCGCAGGTGATCTGGTCCATCATCAACAAGTCGTTCTGCTCCTTCAAAGTCAGGTCAGTCTACGCAGACCACCATAGAGTATTCGTCTGACTTGACTCCACCCACTGCCCCCTGCCCGGCCTCTCCATGCTTCCTGTTGCCGAAGTGACATTCACTGTCCGTGCCTGCCCCGGGGCGACCCGCGCCGTCTGTTCTCTGTTGTCTTCTGTCTCCGCTCCTCTCCTGGGACCAGCTGTACACCGTCCTTAGGTCAGCTCGCAGCTAATGAGTACCAGTCCCTTGGCTCGGGGGAGACGGGGGGCGACATTGTCCGGTGACGGAGACCGCGCAAAGGCTGGCACTGGCAGCGTACTGGCAGCGCAAAGACTGCAATGGGTAGACCATCAATGGCTGCTGTCGTGTATTTTGTTGTGTCGATGCTCACTTTTAATGACGTGCTTTATTTTTAATGCTTCAATGGTACAGGCTGGCACATTGAGCCAAATATATGCTCCTGTGCGGTTACCCGTCCCATCGGTCGTTATTTGGCCGTGATTCGTGTCCGTGTTTTCCCGTTGGCCCGCTGCCGTGTCTGACAGTGTGTGGCGGTTGTGTGTTGAACAGCACTCCGACGCAGAAGTTCTGCCGCAATGAGTACAACCTGACGGGCCTGTGCAGCCGGGCGTCGTGCCCGCTGGCCAACAGCCAGTACGCCACCATACGAGAGGAGAACGGCGTGTGCTACCTCTTCATGAAGACCATCGAAAGGTAACGTCCTCCAAAGGCACCCCCCCCCCCCCCCACACACACACACAAAGGTACTGAGATTTGAGACAACAGTGCTGATAAACTCACGGGAAAAGTTCTGACCACGACCGGCGACCGCTCCCCACGGTCTGGTCCAATGAATGCCGCTGCAAAAGTTTTCTCTCATTGTTTCCAAGCTCAAACTATTTGGCATATCAGCCTCCCGGCGGAGGCGGGCCGCTTCAAGCTACAGCAAACAACGGGCCAAAGTTACCGCACTCATCTCGAATTCGGAGCTTAATTAAAGATCTTTTGTGTTCTCTGGCTATATGAGGACCGTCGACGCCATCTCATCGCGTTATTATAAGCACACAGACTATCACGCAAGCGTTATTCCTGCGAATGGCACTAATGTATGCCTGACCTTGTCATCGAGGGCGACGGCGGACGTTGGGGGGGGGGGGGGCAGGGTAACGATCGGAGCGGGGGGCAGGAGATACGCTCCCGATGGTGCGGCACGGTGCCGCTAGTGTACCGCCCCCACCCCTCCCCCGCTGCTCGATATTCGCTCCCCTCCCCCTCCGTCGCCGCCCGGCTCCCCACCGGTGGTTTACGACCTCCGTGACGGCTGCTGCCATCTGTCGGGTGGCGGCCGGAACATAATCCGTGCCGCTCGCTTCGTAGGGGATTTGTCAAGTCTGCTTAGTGGAGCTAGCTTCACAAACAATTAACCAAATTTCACGGCTTTGAGTGGCGCCACGGCTAAACGAATGAATCTTCGCGTCGCATCCGTTTCAGCCGATGTAGAAAAGCAAACTCAATGCGAGTTTATTTGGCATATTCACGGCTTCTGCTGCAATGTGGTGCAAACATGGAGGGACGCGTTAATTTCGCCTGTAGCGTGCAGTGTGCACTGTGGATAGAACTGTTTGAAAGTATGGTGGTTTTTAGCTGTGGCCCCCTGGCCTGGCCCCTCTCCGGTCCCGTGACCCGTGGCCCCTGTTCCCCGTCCCCAGTCCGTGACCTGTCGTCCCCCTCCCCCTTCCACGTCTCTCTCCATTGAGGAGAGCCTGCTCGGACGACATACAGAGCCGCTGCTATTCGGGCCGACATTCCGCGAGCCGCCGGGGCTCGGCGCTCTACCGGGAACTCGACGGCGCATTGTACCGGTGTCAGTGGAGCGCGCCGCCGATGGGGCTCACTCGTCGGCGCTGATTAGTCGCTGGTCGCGCCGTCCGGGTCCATTGGCGATGACCGGCCGTGTGGCGAGGGAGGGGGCTCCCGAGCGGGCTGTAGACGTGGGCAGCGGCCGCGGTACCCGCGCTGGCTGTCCTGGCGCCGGGTGTGACCCGTGCCGACCGGCGTCAGTCAGCGTGCCGCGCAGTTAGCGCGTCCACAGCCGCGGCGCCGGCCGCGCTGGCACCCTCCATGGTCTGTGTGCTCTGTGCAATGTACACAGCCGGCAGGGCCGTGCCGAGGCCGCCCCTCCCCTGTCCGCAGGGGCGGACAATATGGGACGGACGTGTGCACAGCGGCGGCGGTCGGCGCGCGGCCGGCGGCCACAATGTTCGCTGTGTGCCGCAAACAGAAGGGTCAACAGCGGCCGTATGGGCTGGTTTGCACAGGGGCATACAGGCTGGGAGGCGGGTACGCTGCGCAAACGGTCGCCGTCCGGGCGACGAACGAGGGTGATGGCAATGGAGACTGTCTGTGGGAGGGGACATTCCTGGATAGCTGGGTATGTGGGGCACAGGACCCTGCTGGGTATGGGGTATATATGACGTGGCTGAGCCCTGCCGGGTAGCTGGGTTGTATTGCAGAGTGGGCATACGCCCGGCACTGTGCTTTAGTATGCATAGTTGGTGTATATGCATACATCATGCACTACGCTGTCTGTTGAACAGACGTGTATGAATTCGCCAGCCAGCTCTTTTGACTCGCAGCGAACAATTCAATCGATAAACAAATCATCTAAGAAAGTTTTCCTGTGACAGTTATGTTGATAGGTATCACAACAAAGTTCACCTCTCATTTGTTGGATCGATCGATCTCTATCAGATTTTTGATACATTATATGTTTTACCTTAAACATTATGACTCTAATTTGTTTTTGTTTGGCTTCCGAAATAGCTCCTAAAGGGGCTCACCTTTTCACACGGCATATTCGTCGAAGAAGTAATCAACTATATAAGCAGGTGTTGTGCCACAAACAAGCTGCTCCAGACGCCGGGCGGGCATTCCCAGAGATGTTTTCGTCCCCACCGCACTGTCGCCGGCGCGGCGTGTTGTCGCGCTGGTGTAACAATGCACCTGTCGCGGACCGGCCCCCATTCCTAGCGTGGAGGTGAGGGCAGACGGAAATGTGGACAGCAGGTGGATGAGAGGACCTGTGCGGATTGTGAGCGCCGTGCCGGAGTGTGTAGACAGAGACGTAGCGGTGGCCTCGGCACACGGCGAAGGAGGCCGGTGTCGGACCGGGACGGGTAGTAGGTGGGATATACGCAGCCACAGGTAGTATCGCTGACACCGGTAATGTTACTGACACCTGTGACACACTGACACAGGTAGTGTCACTGACACCGGCACTGTCGCTGACACCGGTGCTGTGCCACATAGATCGACCATGGTCGTGTCGATTAGACCGGCACTGGCGGCTGCGGAAGCCGAGTGGTTTGCGTGTGTGCGTTGAGGAAATGTACACACGGAACATTCCCGCCACTGCGGGACGGTCTGGACTGTGCCAGGGATACTCGGACTCCGGAACACAGAAAATAAATATTATGTTTGCCATGACATTTAGCTTATGTGCTGAAAAAAATGGCGCGTTTGAAGCTATCCAAATTCCAAAGGATCTAAGAAGGCTGTGTTCGTTTGATGTCGAAGAGCTGGAACACATCGCCAGAAATCCACCCTTGATCCCGGAACCTCGACGCTCAGTTACGCACCTTCTTCCGGGGAAGGTGTGTTGGTATCAACTTCCTCCTCTCTAGCAGATCTATGTAGTTCTCCGTCAGTGGATAGCCTCGCAGCGGGCGGTCCACACCTCTGACCGGGGAGTGTTGGTGAAGTAATCCCGGCCTGCCCGGCCGGCCGCCCGCCGAGTATTGGCTGCTCGGCAGAGCGCCGCAGAGTACCGCCCTCTGAGCAGCGCACTTTATGGTGGCGTTTTGGGAATACGCGGCGGGGGGCCGGACAGAGACCGCAATATCGCCGGCGGCGGCGCCGCGGGCATGGGCTCCGGGTCACGGTGGCCGCCGGCCGCGCTCCGGTCGGGTCTCGGACGTTTGCATCAATCCCCGCCCGGCTTCAGTATGGTACTGCATTTCTTGAGTCCTTCGAGGTGTTTTGTCGTCTCCATTTGGAGCATCAACAGACGAACTGGCGTTGTCGAGCCGCCTCTGCTGGGCTGCCGTAAGGTATCGCTCACCCTCCTCCGGTAAGGCGGCCCCACCGAGGCGTCGAGTGGCCGTGACCGGCCGGCCGGCGGTGTTTGGCCGGCCGCTCCGCCGCCTTCCTGTAGCTCCGCGGCTCCTTGGCTCCGCTGTGAGCCCGAGACCGCCGTCCGCCGCTCCAGTGTCGGCGCTGACTTATCGAGCTCTCTCCGCGGACGCCCGCCGCCGGCGCCGGGCCGACCGCCACGCTATGCAAATGGAGCGCGGCGGCGCGCACGGCTTCCGTCGCGCTCGTATCAGCGGCGGCACGCTTTGAACGGCCTCGGATACAAATTCACTTTTCAATCAGGGCTGACATATGATAGCACGATGAAAGGGCGGTGGAAGGATTATGGTCCAAATCCTATATGTGTGACAGTGAATGTAACCATTCTGGAAAATTGAGGAAACCTCGTTCCGATTCACACCAAAGCGTGTTGTTGGAGATATTCCATTAGATTACGTTCGCGCCGCTGTGGCAGCGGCCCCACTGTGCGCCGGCCGGCGTGGCACTGTGCGCTGGTCCCGGGAGGCCGATGTGGTGCTGATAGTAATGGGCTGCGGCGCCCATAGGCCGCCGGCTGCTAACGGCGCTAATCCATTTGAGCGGGGTGAGCGGCGGATCGTCGGACCGGCAGAGGGTAGCCGCGCCCTGCGGACGGGGAACAGGGTCGGTGGGCAGTGGCGATGTGCCACTGAACACATGTGGCGTGTCCGCTCGGTCGGCCGGACTATCTCTGCATGCCGCGGGTTTAGGCATGCGAGCTGCACTGCTATGTGCTGTGGCGCATCTCGGGAGGTGTGAATAGCGTTCTCTCTATATGATGGGCCGTGACTTGTCCCACGAGCGCGCCTTGGTATTGCATTACTTTTTTAGACCTCGTGTGATACATTACTCTGGATGAAAAGAAGTGTTTTTACGGAATCGTTCATGAGATTACTGGTACAATGCAGGGGGCGGAAAAGATGCTTTGTGTGGTTGATCGATGTTGTCACTCGATTTGCAAAAAGAAATTCCATCAAACCTCCGAGGCAACTTGGGTTGCGTGACAAGTGTCCAATTTCGCAAATAAACTACTGACCCGAGTCACGGATGGGGGCCGTGCCGTTGTGAAGGCGCCTGTTGTACCCAGTACAGGGGCGCCTGTTGTGCCCAGTCTGGGGGGCGCCTGTTGTGCCCAGTCTGGGGGGCGCCTGTTGTGCCCACTCCGGGCGCCGCCTGTTGTGCCCACTCCGGAGGCGCCTGTTGTGCCCGCTCTGGGGGCGCCTGTTGTGCCCACTCCGGGGGCGCCTGATGTGCCCAGTCTGGGGGCGCCTGCCGCCTGTTGTGCCCAGTCTGGGGGGCGCCTGTTGTGCCGGTCCGGGCGCCGCCGCCAGCCCGCTATTGCCGACCTCTCGGCTCCCGTCGACCGAAGGCCAACGGTGCCATTTTCCGAGCCATTGACGCTGAATTGGGGCGTCTCGTTAACGGAGAGGAAAATATGGGCCGGCGCCCCACCTACCGCCGCCCGGCTCAGCTTTTTTGACTGGCCAAGAGGCGGCGGCCATTTGCATACGCTGGCGGCGTTATTGGGTCCGGTGCTGAGCTCG